ACTTGGCAGTTTGGTAAAAATTACAATGAGTACAAAACCTTTCAACATGTTTAAGTATAGCTATAATAAGCACATTTGTCTTACATGGTAAATTATGTTGAAGGGATGCAACCCCCCACATCAGAATAAAGGATAGGGCGTTTATTTTAGAGATGGAGTGCTAATTAGTTCAAATACAGTATACTACCTGACATAGCATAATGTATCACAGGAAACATCTCCCAACTAACATTAAAGTCATGTATATTTATAAACCGGATACAGTCTGTACATACATACTGTCAATATAAACAGCTCTATACAATAAACTTACAAACTTTGCTGATTTCCTACCAAGAAATTTAATTGACTGCTTTGACAGTTAAGATTTCTCTGATTATACACAATCTCTGAATGTTAATTATATTGTTGACAAAAACACATATCTAATGGAACCCAAGCAAATGAGTTTAATATTATACAGAGGGCACAAGAAGTTTATGTGTTTTCAAACAAACACTTCTTTGTAGGGTTTGTGTTTTTTTGGGGTTTTTTTGAACTTGAGTTTACACAAATATCGTAATGTTCCAGAGAATCACTGAAGCCGGTGATCTAATGGACACTTCCTTTAGTTACTAATGTTGTCATGGACATTAATTGAGGGAACAACGCTGTGTTTACAAACTAAATACATTTGTCAACCTACAGGTAATATAAAGGAAATCATTATGTATACCTTTAACAACAAACACTATCTATCCTACATATGTAAAATAAACATATATCCAATCTAGTTAAAGGGTGTATGATGCTATAATTTGTATTTGTATACCACCCCACCTCACATCAAATACCAACTCTTTAGAATGCCAATGCTTTGAACTGATCATCAGGTCGACTAGTTCTACAGTGGTGTTAGGCCTTGTACAACCTGAATCATTCAATTATACTTTTTAATCAGTATATGTTGTGCAAGTTTAGTAATTCTTTGCAGACCTACATGAAAATGTGTTAGAACTTAAAGGAACACTACTGGTTCTTTAAAAATGAAGTCGCATAGGCTGACAAAACAAGGCTAGGACTGATAAATTATACTGTATGATTTTTTCTTTTATCACGTTTGACAAGTTTTCTAGACTTTGGTGTCCCATAAATTGCATATACAATGCAATGATATATACTGCATGACTTTGCCTTTTGTCACATTTGAAAAGATTTCTTGATCTTGGTGTCCCATACATTAACCTTCCTTGGACTTGGTATCCCATACAAAGTACTCTTGGACTTGGTGTCACATACAAAGCATTCTTGAACTTGGTGTCCCATACAAAGGTTTCATGGACTTGGTCTTCCATACATAGCTTCCTTGGACTTGGTATCCCATACAAAGTATCCTTGGACTTGGTGTACCATACAAAGCTTCCCTGGACTTGGTGTCCCATACAAAACTTCCTTGGACTTGGTATCCCATACAAAGTATCCTTGGACTTGGTGTCCCATACAAAGCTTCCTTGGACTTGGTGTCCCATACAAAGCTTTCATGGACTTGGTCTTCCATACAAAGCTTCCTTGGACTTGGTGTCCCATACAAAGCTTCCTTGGACTTGGTGTTCCATAGAAAGTATTCTTGGACTTGGTGTCCCATACAAAGTATTCTTGATCTTGGTGTCCCATACAAAGCTTCCTTGGACTCGGTGTCCCATACAAAGTATTCTTGGACTTGGTGTCCCATACAAAGCTTCCTTGGACTTGGTGTCCCATACAAAACTTCCTTGGACTTGGTGTCCCATACATGGCATACAGATCCTGACTGTTAGGGGACAATAGAATTTTCAATTTCACACTAGATAACAGAGATACTAACCAGGTTTATACAAAGATTGTCAATCTTCTGCACCCCTGGGACATTTTCATGTGTTAAAGAAAGTTCTGTTCCAACATGCACAGCTGCCAGGGTAAAAATGCACCCACTGACTTTGGTGTCTAGGTCTCAAACTATAAACCTCACTGCAGTACGAGTCGGAACAATTTATATCACATGCAAACTCACTGTAGATATGTCATTAAAAATACATACATCAGACACTATTTTTAAAACGCAGATAAAATATTGGACAAAATGTTAAGTTAAGTATTCATGAAGCCATTGGTGAAATTTATTGATCTGAAAGAATGTTTAATGTATAGATATATGGTGTAAGTTTAGTATACATGTACAACGTACATTTATTGTCAGTTTTAAATGCATCTTTAAGCCTGAGGAATGAAGAATGAGATTTTGTGATACCTCAGTATGAAATTAATCACCCTCCTTAACTTGAATGTACATTTGTAGATGATTCTAACATCAGGTAGTGATCAGTTCATATTTCAATTGCTTCAATTTGTATTTTTTCCCATTGCTTAATCTTCTGCAATTGGTCAGTTGCGGTGAACAATTATTGATTTCTTTTTTAATTAATATATATAATTAACCTTAAAATTTCAAATAAAATATCACAAAGATTTAACTTTGTTTGGTGGTGGCTAAATGACCATACCATGATAATCACTCGTTTACTGCTTGAATACAGTAATAAACCTCAACAGTACATAGTATTTTACTGCAATTACATTGCATATCACACACCCATAGACCGGTAACATTCTATCACAAAGTCAAGAAACTGATTTTCATCCTTATAATTAGTTTTAATAAAACTCTAATTTATGAAATAAGCAGTGATGTATGTACAGCCTTCAGGAATCAGGGAACAGGAAGATTTAACTAGGAGAAAATCCCGTAGGTAAAATTTGTAAATGGAAAGCCAAACCAAGGCTAAGGAATGTCAGCTGAGATTCCCAGACTTGACTGATAGCCCAGGGTGCTGATCGAATATGATGATTCACCCAGAACTGACCCCTGGGGATAGATTAGAAGAAGTTGTGCAGAGTACATAGTAAAATAAATATGCAAATCTACTGCCCCTGTAGATATTATAAACATACTTATCTAGTGACCAACACCATCAAACTGTACAGGTCACACAGGCCATGATCTCACACAGGCCATGATCTCACACATGCCATGATCTCACACAGGCCATGATCTCACACAGGCCATGATCTCACATAGGCCATCCATTTGTATCCTTTATGATTTCTTGTTTATATAAAGTTAAGTAAGCTGTCAATGCAGATAACAGTGTAGCGATAATTAGTTTCGACTTTGCAAATCAGGATGAACGACTTACCACATACTTTTTGAAGTATTGGTAATTACTTTCTCAATAAAAATCTTAGAAGAATCTTTTCTGAAATAATGGTATCCAAGATTAGAATAATGTTTACACTGCATGTAATTAAGATCTCGATAAGGTTTTTTCCTACAATACTGAAGAAATTAAATCTGTTGGATAATGATAAGTTTATACTCCTTTACAATAAAATACCGGTAAATCAGATAGAATATCTACTACAAACGTTCTTTATGAACTCGTTGTCTCCTGAATCACAAGTCTAGTATTCCAGGTGTGCCAAGTCAGCAGTGAATTGTAAGGTATATATGGGCTTGCACCGAGGTCAAAAGTTTGCCATTATGTACCAGTATAACTGAATCTATAAATCAGTAAAACAGGCACAGTATTCACCATAAAACAAAGATCTGAACTCTAACACTCATTTTTACAATACTTGAAATATCCATATCTATCTAAGAACTGTCATATGTTCGATCACTCTCAAAACTGCTATGCCTTTCTTTGGTCAGTTCTATATAATTGACATAAGTTTCCTTACCTACTTTATAAAGGTTTCATCACTCTCATTACTGCTACATGTTCCACTACTTCTAATACTGCTATAAGTTTTATCAACCTGTAACTGCCAGTTGGGTTATCCCCTAAAAAAGTACCGAAGTCCAAGTTTCACAAGCATTCCTTATATCTAACGAAATTCCTTTTCTGAAAATTTCCCATACGAAAGAATTGCATGAGTAAGGGAAAATTTACCTTAACTTTATCAGATCTTCCCTGAACTGACAAGTAATGCTTTCTTGGAAAAAAAGAGTTACTTCAATTGTAACTCTATGATATACCAGTTTTGATTTGTAAGCTAATCACAAAATGAGCAGACAACATCTTAAATTCTATAAATTTTGAATATTAATGTTATTACAATGTCACACCAGCTGCCGAAGTCAATTATCATTCAAATTTACTTCTGCGTTTATTGATGTACTCGTCTTTCAATCAATGTGAGACCATAGAATTGAAGTATACCAGGAAAACTTAGTTGTATACTGAATACAATACATCTAACATTTGAACACCTATGAATTACCAACCCTGTCAATACCATTAAAGCCATGGCAGCAGCTGCCCTATAGAAAATCTCACAGTTGTTTTGATGAAAATAGGAGCTTGAAGTTTTATCAATTTTTTAGATAACTCTGTCTGCATGACACTGTAACTTGAATACACCAGTCTGTTACAGACGATTACGTAGATAAACAGTACCCAATACCAGTGTATATGTCAATGGTAAATGTCTGAGATATACATATATGTACAGTTTAATTACCCGTCCTATTATTCCCAGACTACAGATGATTCAAACCCACATACTTCTCATAAACTAGATATCCTATGCTACCCAAACAGTTGTTCTAGTGCAATGACGGCAATGCCTGCAGGCATCTCAATGTTACTGGGAACCCTGTACAATGTGCAAACTAGGCAGAAATGTATACGGTTAATGCCTTCATGATATTAATGATATTTACGGTAATAGCCCAATTTTACACATGACCTAGCAGTGCAATCACACTGTACACATGTTCAAAGAAGTGCACCAAGTTTGGCAGAGTTGATCGTCTATATACAGGTTCGTCCAGAGCAAAACTAGCGTTGATAGAGAATATAACTAGAGAATATAACTAGAGAATCATTGATATGGAGGGCCGGGGCCTATATGTGTTACTGAGACATGGGGGATGTCATGATGCATTGTTTATAAAGTCAATAAACTCCATCAATACTTACAGATGCATATTCTCGGATTTCAGCTTCTGTGTCACAATTTAATACATCATCCATATCAAGGTTGCAGTTATGGTCGTCTGAATCATCCTGCAAAAAGTGAAGTATTGGATTAAGACAAATTTCTTGTACCAACTGGAATAAGATTTTAGTACTGTTAATGCTAAAACAGAGGTCCAACGTAGAACTTAATCTATTGATATGATCTGCTGGTGAATTGACACCTCACATAGAAATGGACTAGCAAGAAGATTTATCCAGAAGATTCCTAACTCTGTTGGCACAAACTAATTACACACAGCATGGACTGGTTGTTAGTAATGTTCACAAAAAAATGTTTTAAAGAAAATGAAGGTACATGCCTATTTGTATAGCTTTGTGAAATATTAGTCCAGGATACATAGTATGCCGTTTACATTTCTACAACAAATAAGACAATCTATAACAAGTTTTGAACTTTTCACCTTTCATCATGTATTTCAGTATATCTGTCAGTGGATCAACTATCTTTGGAAGCCTATAAGTATGCCTCCCTTCTCCAACGCCTTAACTACGGCAAAGTTCATTGTTGTTGCAAGATTAGATCCAAACTTTTGCTTTATTTATTTTCAAAATAAAGATCAAGTACATGTGACTACATAAACAGTGTGCTGTAGTATACCATATGTCAGTGTTTTCACTATCCTTAACCTGTCCAACAGCAAGGTAAGTTAATTATAGGAACAGGAGTCAGTTCATCTTCATTGACCTTTTTATCAGATCTTTCAGTATATCTCGACCCACCTCTGTAATATTTCACTCTGATTACAACGTTTACAAGAGAGTGATCCCTACAGCACTACGGTGTTGACGTTTTACAGTGCTGCCTAAGAGCTGTGAATTCCTATGTAAACGACATTGTGCGAGGCTCGGGCAGGGTCAGAGACACACAGGGTTACGTTGGAATGACCCGATAATGATGACTTATCGGATGTATATAACAGTGTTTGGGCCGCCACATTGGTTCCTCATTCGAGTTCACAGTGTGAATGCTTCGTACAGGTTGACGTGACTTGGGTTCATCAATGAGTTCCGTTAATCACTTTATATTTGCCCAGAGCAAACTGTAGTTAAATCTAGACTTATCAAAACATGTTTTGTTATATTTATCCATATAGCTAACACCAACTTGTTTGCTAACCACAAAATATTTTTACATATAACTGTAATGATGACCTTATTGACTTTTGGTACCTGAAATATGAACTCATTCAAGTTTTCTTTTACCTCATCTTTCTGTTAAGTTTGATCAAAATCAGCTGCTGCTGAAGTGATGACACTGAATTGGTTGACAATTTTTTATAAATAGTAATGTGACTTTTGGCCTCGACCTTGGAACCATAAAACACAAACTCATTTAAAAGATATTCTTGCACTTGACCTTTGTATAAAGTTTGATCAAAAGGTGAAATGGAGTCTTTAGAACAAGAAGTGTAAATCAGAACAGGGCAGAATGCGATGGGACAGGAGGACATGGCAGGTAACACTATATGCCCCTAAAATTGCAAGGGCATAAACGATTTTGACAATATAGTGATTGAATTGCATCACTGACCCACTAGTTAACCCCAAATTTGATAGATAATCCAGTTGTCATATGGATCAATTAAACACATTGTTTAAGTTCTATTAATGTTATTCGGGATCTAATAAATGGCATACAATTTCAAAGACACAATGCAGTGATCGATAAAGATTGGTTTCTCATTCAATTACGATGGCCTGAAGCTTGATCAGTCTCATTAACAAGTCTGGCACCCAGGATCAATACTGATGACGGTCTAATGTAGAGCTAACACGATAAGGGTGGACACGTTTCTATAGATCAAGTGCAGACATGTACACATGCAAGGCCATGCTAAAATGTATCTGTGTTACTGGTCACATACATCCCCAACAGTATCCCGACGTCGCTAACACAACAATCTGTCAAGATTCTGCTTCCATTACACAATGTCATGTAAAATCATTTAAAACGGCTTTCTTTACAAGCATCATGACCTTTTTTAGATAGGTAACAATCAACAGTCACCAGTGTCTTTTTGACCAATTATTACCTACAATGTTACACCAAAAGTGTTTCTATAACTGTAAGTTACTAACAGATCCAAGTATCCAAGATCTGTTATTGTACTGACCATCACATGGATGTAAGACAAGCTATCATGACAAAATAATCCATTTCCCAGCATTAATGCCCCCATGGGCAACCTCTCTCAAATTCAACATTTTTGTATTAGGGAATATATGAACGCTTCAGGTAAACAAATTTCCATATTACCTGCCATCAATATTGGTTCTTTATATAAATATTCTCATATATTTTAAATGTTTTACCACAGGCTAATATTTAACCCTTTCACCCCTATGTAACTTTAGTAGACTCTATCATGCATTGATATGGAGGGGTCCATTATGGTCTACAGTGGTGAAAGCCAAATGAGAGCACCCCCATATAGATTCTACATATAGATACGGGAAGGATGGCACTGTGTATAGTGACAGTGTCTTTGAAGTGCCTCCAACCAAACACTAGGCTATTAGTAATTGAAGTAAATAGACTATATTAATTGAAATGTTAAAATCTATGATATTCTAGATATTATTTTCTGTGAACATGTATTAAATGGTTCTAGTATTCTCCTATAATTGAACATATACTACATCTTCTCTATAATACTCTTTCTATATATATATGTATATATGAATGTATGAAATGTGTGTATTTTCTCTGGAAAGGGCTTTTATAGGCAATGCCTGTGCCTAATCCAATTGTGTTCTTTTTAATACAATAAAATTGATTTGAAATGAAATAGATTCTAAAAGTTTAACTTGGATGCTCATCCTTACATTTTTGATATTCTCCATCAAGATTTTTATAATAACCTCCTAATGTTTTTGTTGGTTGAACATCTTCCGCCAAAAACATAAGAAAAAAGCTGCTAAGGAATTATCTATTGTAACAGTGACCAAAATCTTTCAGAATGATATACTGCCTCTTGAATGCAGAATTTTACTTGTGGGTGGGATGATATAGAGATGTCTGTTTCCACTGTACTATGAAAATAGTCAAAATATGAGGAACATTATTGTTAAAAGAAAACTGTGAATACATGCAGACCTTCCACTTCTCATAAACCCATGTCCAGTGACCAAAATTATTACAAAATTATTTGTTTTAATGTGTTAAATTTCTGAAATTCGCCAATGTTCTTTTCATTTTTGTTTATTTTTCTCACAAAAACAGAAGCAAAACAAGAAGCCTACACAACAATGGACATATTTTGAACAGACGTAACAGTCAAGTTCATGTACAGTCTAGCACTGACCACCTCAAGATTAAGTGTAATGTATTATGACTTACAAACAGCAAGCTAAATGAACCCCATTAAACAGATTTGAAGACTTAACATAAGTCGTCAGCACCATACCATACAGAAATAATAAGCCTTCTCTTTCAATACCACTAATATCTTCACCACAGTCAATATAACAGACTTAGCTAACGGGTGTATACTTGACTTATATATGATATTGTCTGGTACTATATATATCCATGTGAAACTCCTACTGGTAATCCTGTTAGATAAATACTATAATCACCATGGAAGGCGTCCATGTGGAATTATACCATTTAGTAGTACATATATCCAGTACAATCCCATAATACCATAATATCTTATACTGTACTATAGCGGAATAACACGTGTCCATGTGTGTGCTCTAGAACAAGTCTGGCATGTGTTAGTGGATCCAGTAAAACCTTCAGTAATCTATGGGTACTCCTCCTCTGAGTCAAGATTAAAATTGAAACTAATTCCATGGTTTTGATATTGCTTTTGATATTATTAAAATACCAAACTAACATGCCTGACAATCAGAATTAGTGCTTCTATACTCAATGGAACCATTTAAGCCAAAAGATATTTCAAAGCTTAATTTCCATAAATTCCATTACCACAATAAATCAATATATTGAAATTTTAAAGATTACTTGAAAAAACCTTTTTCATCTCAGAATGAAATAATATAGAGGATTGTCATTGTTTTGTGTGTAGTAAGTACTGTATGTACATCTACCTAATAGTTCTTCCGACATATAATATATACCGTTTTCCCTTACTTGGGTGGTTGTCAAATGCAGGACGTCAGATGTCTGACGGTGGCCAACCCAGTTGGTCGAAACATGTAAACTTTGGAATTAAGTTGTCATAGTCATGTCTTAGACTGGTTTAATTTATAACTCTTATGAAGAAACAAGTGAATTCCATCCAGGAATCCATCGCCTCAATGACAAGGAACTGCACAGAACTTTCTCTAGAGCAGACACAAATTGGACCTCCCGAACCCCATTTATATTGAAAAACAAATTCTGTTTTTTAATATCTACTGGGAATACAGTGTGTGCACCTGTGATTTGAGCTGAACTATGGATTACCTTCAAAAACCTCTTCAAAAACTCAAACAATGCAACGGTTAATTCAGGAGCCCAAAGCCTTTATGTAAATATTGAGATAATATTAAATTGTATGTTCACTTGAAGTCGATTCAATTTTCCTACATAACCAGATAGCTGTCACCATAACACGCAGTCCCTGAACACCAGTGTCCATCACCACTTTTACACGTATACTACGTATATACATACAGACACCGTACATTTGAGTTTCCAAGACATGATCCTTTGCTGTTTGGAGTTATGTAGCCCTGTTCTGTGGCATACTATGGCAGGGTTGTATCACTTTTGGGTACACCAATTAATTTTTGAATACCACCTGGGAGGTTAAGCAAACCAAGACTTGAATCCATGATTTGCATGTATATATATTGAACGGCCTGAAAGAGACCCTTGTGTAAAATTTCAGTTGGCCCGGTTTATATATTCAGGAGAAACCCTCATAACAAAGTCGTTGATAAAGGACGACCGACTTACTTTAGATCGAGAAATAGTTGTCAAGAATTCGTAAGATCATGCTATTCAACATGAAGTGTTATCCATTCCTTGTGTACACAGACATTTTTATCATTTAATTTTCCAAGGTTGTGGTTCT